TTTCAGATGGCAGAGCATCTGGAGGAAATAACAGAATAAGTGAGATGAGATTTTACTCTGTCACATTTACGATGGCATTGCCCTTATTAACTGACAATGTTTTTATTTTGATAGAGGAATACACACACACACAGAGATCTTTCTAAAGAGGCCAGATAAAAATTAATCTGAAGCCTTGCACTTTTATTTCCTCTTTCATTCAGGTATATCAAAGCTGTTGAATCAACCGCCACTCAACATCACAACCATCTTAAGAAATACTATCAGTAGAAGAGTATTAGAACAACCATACTGAGTCAGACCAATGGTCCATCTAGCCCAGTATCCTGTCTTCTGACAGTTGCCCGTTGTGACAGGATCCCCTGGGTACAACCTGGAATTGGGGTATCACTGTGCCCCCTTAACTCTCCAGCCTGGGCGATCTCTCACAATGCTTTGCCAGTGACAAGCAGCAAATCCCTCCAGGCACTGTTATAACTCAGTACAACAGGATGTGGAGCCCCACACCCAGCTAAATTGCGTGAAAGGCACCAGCAAATCTCCCAAGCCCCAAGCCTTGCACCTCAGATATGTACCGTCTTGCCCTGGTCAGAAGCCTGGCCAGTGTTAGTTTATTACCCAGTCTGCCACTGGCCTTTGTAACCTGAGCTGAGATTTTCCAAGCACTTCAACCAAAACACATTGTTTTCGGTAAAATATAAAGCAGATTTATTAACTACAGAAAGATAGATTTTGAGTGATTATAAGTGGTAGGCACAAAAGGTCAGAGATAGATACCAAAGAAAATTAAAGGTAAGCGCACAGTCTAAATCTTAAACCTTATTAGACTAGGCAGTATTTAGATCAAGCAGTTTTCTCACCCCACTGTATGCTGTAGGTAGATTTCAGTTCTTAATACACAGGCTTCCCCCTTAAGCCCAGGGCCAGTCTCCCCAGTTCAAATCTTTGTCTTCCCAGCGTTCTTGTTGCTTCCAGCGTAGGTGGGGGAGGAGAAAGGCCAAAGCATGATGCCACTGTCCCCTATTTTATATCTCAGTCCATATGCCTGGAAAACACTAGCCCACACATGTCCTGGTGGGCTTTGCTGAGTCACAGGTTGAGCAAAACCCAATTGGGAAGCCCTCTTACAATATTATAAATCCCTTATTTACAACTCCCCTGTTGATTAATGGTCACTTACCACCCTCCTGGGAGTGGCTCACCACCTAGCAGTAGAGACTCACAGAAATATGTTGTAAGTTTGATACAACCATACAGCAGTCATAACTTCATACACACTAACGATATACATATTTGGACAGAACAATGGGTTCCAGCAGATCATGTCCTTTCATATGATATCTTACATGGCATGCTTTGTATGAAATATATCATAATTATATGATGGGGTGAATATGGGGGTTTCAGGGTGCTGCTTTGAGGTACAGAATGCCACATCCATGTCAGTTGCTTTTGGCAGTTGAAGGTTTAGGAACTTGGGATTGCATCCCTGATCATCTTGGTTAATACCCATTGATAGACCTATCGTCCATAAAATTATCTTATTCTTTTCTGAATCCAGTTATTCTTTTTGGAAGAGTTATACTTTTGGCTTTCACAAGAAGTTCCACAGGTTGACTGTGTGTTCTGTGAAGAAGTATTCCTTTTGTTTGGTTTAAACCTATTGCCTATTTATTTTATTTTGTGACCCCCCGGTTCTTGTGTTATGTGAAGGGGTATATAACACTTCTCTATTTACTTTCTCCATGCCATTCATGATTTTATAGACCTCTAACATATCTCCCCTTAGTTGTCTCTTTTCTAAACTGATCAGTTCCAGTTATTTAAATCTCTACTCATATGGAAGTGGTTCCATACACCTAAGCACTCTGTTGCTCATTCTCTGTACCCTTTCCAATTCTAATATATCTTTATTGAGATGAGGAAACCAGAACTGCATGAAGTATTCAAGATGTGGGCATATCATGGAATTATATAGTTGCATTATATTTTGTTTTATTATATATCCCTTTCCCAATAAATAGTTCCTAACATTGTTAGTTTTTGTGACTGTCACTGTATGTCGAGCACATGTTTTCAGAGAACTATACAGGATAACTCCAAGATCTCTTTCTTGAGTGTAACAGCTAATTTAGATCCCATCATTTTGTATGTATAGTTGGGATTATTTTTTCCAATGTGCATCACTCTGCATTTATCAACACTGAATATCATCTGCCATTTTGTTGCCCAGTCATCCAGTTCTGGGAGATTCCTTTGTAACTCTTCCCAGTCAGCTTTGGATTGAACTATTTTGAGTAATTTTGTATCATCTGCAAAATTTTCCACCTCACTGTTCACCCCCTTTTTCTGATCATTTATGAATATGTTGAACAGAACAGATCTTTGAGGGATCCTGCTAATTACCTCTCTCCACTGTGAAAACTGACCATTTATTCCTACCCTTTGTTTCCTATTTTTTAACCAGTTACTGATTCATGAGAGGACCTTCCCTCTTATCTCATGACTGCTTATTTTGCGAAGAGCCTTTGGTGAGGGACTGTGTCAAAGACTTTCTGAGAGTCCAAGTAAACTATATCCACTGGATCACTCTTGTCCACATGCTTGTTGACACCCTCAATGAATTAGATTGGTGAGGCATGATTTCCCTTTCCCACCAGTTTGTCTGGTTCTAAATTTAGGCTTACCAGCGTGTACTTGCAAGAATCACCTCTGGAACTTTTTTTTAAAAATCAGTATTATGGTAGATTCCCTCCAGTCATCTGGTACAGAGTGATAGGGTACATACCACAGTGAATAGTTCTGTATTTTTTTATTTGAGTTCCTTCAGAACTCATCTGATCCTGGTGACATATTACTGTTTAATTTAACACCTCAGTCTGGGGCAGTTCCTTAGATCTGTCACCTAAAAAGAATGGCTTGGGTGTGGAGTTCTCCCCCACATCTGCTGCACTGAAGCCCATCTCCCCCTATTCCCTCCACTCCTCTGCACCCTAATCATCTCCTCCCAGGAAGCATTCACATTTTATTTTCTGAAATAACCTGAACACCTTCTGAATTTTCTGCTGTACTCAGATTACATTTCTCCAACATAAAAAGCCCCTTTGGACAGAGGCAACAGGCCAACAACTCATTTCCAGATTTCTGCCTAGAATGGGTTCTCAACTTACAATGCCTGGGTGTTGTTCTGGTTTAATGGCCACAGCACATTCCTTGAGCCACGCAGGTCACAGCAAAGCCTGGTGGCTAGTAACCCTCTTGGGTACTCTGCACATGTGCAGTATAATCCATTCAGTGCATGAGGAGAAGGCTCCAGCCGGTCTGGAGAGCTTAACTCTTTATTGAATAGAACATTTTAAATGTTGCTCCTCCTAAGACAGAGGTCCCCAAACTAGGGGGGCACGGAGGAATGTCTGGGGAGTGCGGCAGGCCTGGGCCAGCCCCCACAGGGAATGGGGAGGAGCACCACCCAAACCGACAGCACCCCCAGCTCTACCTCCGATCCCAGTTGCAGCCCCATCTCCTGGCCCTGTCCCCAGCCTCAGTGCGGCTCCACACCCAGTCATGGGCCCGGCTGCTGGCCACCTCCGCGGCCCGGCTGCAACTCCACTCCCGCCTCTGCCCCCAGTCTCGGCCCATGGCCATGGTCCATTTCCAGTCCTGGCCCCGGTCCTGGCCCCAGACCCACCCTCAGCTGCGGCTCCAGCCTGAGCCCCCTTATCTCTGTCCACACGTTTGACCCCCTCAGGAACCACAGCCCCCCTCCGAGCCCCAGCTCAGGGGAGGGCCGGGGAGAGGGGAGGAGACAGGGGTAAGGGGGGGCACAACCATCAAAAGTTTGGGGCCACTGTCCTAAGAGGTAATGGGTGTCAGGCACATGGGAGGATAAATGCTAGTGAGATCCTTTGAGGTCCGATCAGAGCAATGACTTGATTCCCCAAGTGTGCACAAAAATTTGTTGGAAAATCCATCAATTGTAAGAAAAACGGTTGGGGGGGACTATATCTTAGGAACTCCTTTGTCAAATGACCCCTAATTTGGTCATTAACCCTATCCCTTGCTCCTATGAGGCACAGCAACTTACAAGGCAATCCAAGTATCTGTGCAGATTTGAGAGCACTAAGAAATGTTATCCTTAAAACAGAAAGGGCTTCTCAATTTTAACTACAGTGGAGCTGGTGATCCTGCACAATTTGCCAGCTCTCTGCTGGCCTGAGGTTTCTCTCTTGCACAGCTTGTCGGCACTGAGGCCAGGAGACATCTGTATGCGATCCCTCTCAACACGGGGAGATGCAGGCTAGACAGAAACTGCGCCCACAGTCTAGAATGACAGGTTCTGATGTCGCAAGAAGCTTAACTCTGGAGACTTTTCCTAGGCTTCCCTGAGGCCCTGGCTCCCTCTGGAGAGTGGAAAAGGGTAAGTCTCACTTTCCTGAGCTCAGAGATATGCCCCACCTGCACGGCAACTGCGAGTTTCCCTTCTTGAAACTGATTCATGCTGTTTGCTGAGATGCTAGGAACCCATTCAGAGAGTCACAGCCCTGGAGTCTTTTGTGAAAATGTAGCATTGCCGACCTCCATGAGTCAGCCTCCTCAAAATAATGAAATTAACCCCCACATCGGTTTTTTTTAAGATTATATCATGTTTTTGGTCTCTTTAGATGTCTGGGACCCCCCCCCCTCATCCCCAGTGTGTGTGAGACAATTAACTCCCCCCTCACCCACATCTACGGAGTGAATTGATGTCTGCCACCCTGCACAAGCTCCCATCCCCTCATCTGCCCGGCCCCCAGTCCAGCAATTAATCCGCCCCCAACCCTCAAATCAATCCATTCCCCCACAGCCCCCGCATCAGTTCTGCCCCCCAGATCTGACTGACCCTTCAATCCTGCCTAGCTCCCACATCAATCCCCCACCACATCTGCCCCTCCCCCAGCCCCCACATCAATCCCCCACCACATCTGCCCCGCCCCCAACCCCCACATCAGTTCCACCCTCACCTCTGCTCCTCCGGCAGCTCCTGGGGCTCTTCATGTCCCTCTCCCAGGCCTGGGGGCTGCCATGGGGTCCCCTCTCTCCCTTTCCAGGACGGGTGATGCGGGGAGAAGCAGAGGAGATGAGCTGGCTGCCACTCACAGGAGGGAGGAGAAGAGGGAGGAGGCAGTGCTGAGCTCGCTACCCTCGCGTGGGATCAGAGAATCCGCTTCCCATCACGATTTGCTACTTTGCTGTTACTGAGCAGGCTGGAGGGACCGGAACATGCTCAGTCACGTCTGCTGAAGCCGCTGCCCTCACTTGCATCCCAATCAGCTCACTGCAATCAAAGTGGGCAAGTCGGAGGGGAGAGGGGGTGGAATTTGTGCAGGAGCCAGATAGGGGTGCCAGGCATCCGGTTTTCCACCGGAACTTATGGTCGAAAAGGGACCCTGGCGGCTCTCGTCAGCACGGGGCCCGGGTCTAAGGCAGGGTTCCCTACCTGCCCTGCCTCCACACTGCTCCCAGAAGCGGCCGCCAGGTCCCTGCAGCCCCTAGGCGCTGGACAGCTAGGGACTGGGACTCGGGAGGCTCCATGCGCTTCCCCTGCCCCGAGTACTGGCTCCACAGCTCCTGTTTGCCGGGAACCCCAATGAATGGGAGCTGCGGGGGGCAGTGCCTGTGGGCGCGAAGACACTGCACACTGCCGCCTGGCTGCACATGCGCCTAGAGGCTGCAGGGACCTGGTGGCCGCTTCCTTGGAGCCACAGTAAGCACTGCTGGGACCCTGCACACACATCCCTGCACTCAACCCCCTGGCCCTGCCTGGAGCCCCCTCCTTCACCCCAAACCCCTCTTCCCCGGCCCCACCCGAGCCCTCACCACCCCCAGCACCCCAACCCCCTGGGTCAGCCCAGAGCCTCCTCCTGCAGCTCAAACCCCTCATCCCGAGCTTCACTCCCAGCTGGAGCCCTCACCCCCCAACAGACACACGCTAATCCCCTACCCCAGCCCAGAGTCCCTTCCCACACCCCAAACCACTCATTCCCAGCCCCACCCCAGAGCCCACACCCCCAGCCAGAGCCCTCACCCCCCTGGCACCCCAACCCCCTGGGTTAGCCCAGACCCCCTCCTGCACCCCAAACACCTCATCCCCGGCCCCACTACCAGCTGGAGCCCTCACCCCACGACACATCCTAACCTTAGGGTGACCAGATGTCCCTATTTTATAGGGACAGTCCAGATTTTTGGGTCTTTTTCTTATATAGGCTCCTATTAGCCCCATCTCCATCCCGATTTTTCACACTTGCTGTCTGGTCACCCTACCTAACCTCCTGCCCCAACCCAGAGTCACCTCCTGCACCCCAAACCCCTCATCCCTGGGCCCATCCCAGAGCCTGCACCCCCAGCCCAGAGGCCATAACCCCTTCCGCACCCAAACCTCCTGCCCCAGCCCAGTGAAAGTGAGTGAGGGTGGGGAAGAGCGAGTGACGGAGGGAGGGGGGGATGGAGTACGTGGGGAAGGGGTGGAGCCTTGGAGAAGGGGTGGGGTAGGGGTGTTCGGTTTTGTGTGATTAGAAAGTGGGCAACACTAGGACCAAAGTGTCTCCAGAGAAGGGTAAAACAGGGGAAGGAGATGGACAGATGAACAAAATTGGGAACAGGGTGCAGGAGCTGGGGTTCAGAAAAGGGGAGATGCACTGCCAGACAGTGGGAGAGGGGGAAACCCCAGGACAGGGAGGGGCAGATGGGATAAAAGTTACCACAAATGGGGTGAGCCATCTGCTGTGGTTGGCTTTGTGTTCTGGGCTTGTCCATCCCAGCACAGCCCCACCCCTTATTTATATATATATATATGGAGATATAGCTATCTCATAGAACTAGAAGGGACCTCAAAAGGTCATCAAGTCCAGCCCCCTGCCTTCACTAGCAGGACCAAGTACTGATTTTTGCCCCAGATCCCTAAGTGGCCCCCTGAAGAATTGAACTCACAACCCTGGGTTTAAGTAGGCCAATGCTCAAACCACTGAGCTCTTCTCTATCTGCAATGATGGACTGAGCTCCCAATGGAGACTTGATTCAGGGCGATATGTTACACAGAGACACACACACTGCCATAAAACAAATGGATACTTTTTGTGTGTGTTTCTGATGCTTCAAAGAATTCCTGCTTTGTTTCCATAGGTGTCAAACTTCTGCACAGGGCCTCACAGCAGTTCACCAAATGGCCTTATCTGCTGTCCTAGATTGCCTGTCATCCACTGGAAATGCAGTTTCACTCCTTTTAATTTATTTTAAAAATACAATTTTTAATATGATGTTTGCTACCGTACAAAGAAGAGGGCAATGTGATAGCTACCCTCAGGCGATTGCAGACTAAGTCCAGCTGGGATTTGTCTGTTCATTTATCCATCCATCTGTAATATATGTTTTTCTCTCCATCCTGTGTCTATAACATGGCTAGGTATTATAGCCAGTCCAAATCCTTACAGGGTCTATTTCTGTAGAACATAGAGGCTCTCCTTCTATGTTTTATGGGCTAGATTCTGCTCTCCTACATCAGTGCAAATCTGGAATAAGGAGGAGAAACTTCAGATATGGATTTATTTCAGATTTACAGCATTGTAAATGAGCGCAAAACTTGATCCTGTCTAGTGTGTAAATCTCCTCAGCAGTGATGGACAGTATGCTGTCTACAAAATTATCTAGCAGAGAGAGCAGTGTATGTGGGGTGAGAACTTTTGGGTTTGATTCCTGGTTCTGCTACTGTGTATGGAGAGCAAGTTGCTTACCTCAGTTTCCCCATCTTTAAAACGTCCTGACCACTGGACCATAAGATGTTTTGGACTGTACAACGATTTGTGCTTGTTCTCTGACCCAATTAATGGTTAATTATTTAAATGAAGTGAAATTGCTTCTAAAAGAGCTATTGAGAGACACCCTTGTGAGAGTATCCTATAGCTCAGTGGTCAGTGCACACTCCTAAGACCTGGGAGCTCCTGTTAAATCCTTTCTCTGTGTCAGTTGGAGGCCAGATTCTCAGGTAGGGTAAATTAGCCTAAACCCATTGAAGTCAATGAAGCTTTGCTGATTTAAACCAGCTGAAAGTCTGGCCCAAAATTACCATTTAAGCTCATTTTGTTAGATACAGTACACAGTTACAGCTGTGTAACAAGAACTGGCTATTTACTGCATAATTTGCTTTCCCAGCCCTTGATATGCCTTAGCAGCCAGAGGCCATGTCCTAATAATTTAAATAGGAAGCCACAGAAAACAAAGTCACAGCCCTGGAGTGGGTGTGTGAGTGTCTGAAACTTTTTCACCCTTGAGCTCCCATCGTTTAGGCCTTGTCCATGCTGGAGATAGGGTGTGTTTTTTACAATGTGTAGCCCAAGGTCCAATGTGCTTCAACAGCAGCCCTGGGAACTACAATTTGTGGACTACAAACTGCAGCATGTTGGGAGAACTCCCTGGTTCCTGCCAGGATGTACCCTCAATCCTACCCTCTCCCCCCCACCTCCCAGCAGGAGGTGTCAGCACTGACTGAGCTGGGAGCATGTAGCAGGCAAGCAGAGAGGAGGCTGATGGACTGTAATCTTGTTCTATGTTCTTTACAGAATAAAGTCTTGTTCTGGTCTGAGGTGAACACACACTGACACACAATGCAGAGCACACAGAGGAGCCTCAGGCCCAGTTTCCCAAAGTTGTGTAAAAGGTAGCAACACAGGCTTCCCCTATCTTGAACAACCTCCTCCTACTGGGCCACTGAACAGGACGGGGAGCTACATTTTTTTAGTTATTGGTGCTGTGACTCAGATAGGGGAAATTTAATTTTTTGTACAGTAGGGAAGCTGCCACACAAGTGAACCAGGATAGCATGGATTCACAGTTTGGAGCCCACGAGGGTTGGCCTAACCCTGATTTGGTGTCAGTGAGAATAGAGACCCCCAATGGGTGTTGTAGCCAGGAAACTCCTGCTACTAAGGGTGAAGCTATTGGGGGGAAATCTTGGGGAGGAACACAGTAATGCCATACCTCCCTGCACAGCACCAAATCCGTGGGGTTCCTGTGTTCAGTGGTGGTGCAGATTGCAGGGTAGACATAGAGCACTGGATAAAAGATATACAGTATCTGCTAGCAGCCACTGACATTCTTGAGCCTTTGAAGTTCCCCACTCTTGTCAGATACATGGAGGTGGGAGGGGAGTATAAATTAGTTCTTAACCTGCCACCTCAGGAGCAGTTTCCAACCCAAGCTATTGAAGAGCTTAGAGCAGAGTACAGTGACTGCCATTTATTGCTGGACCCCATGGCAGACTTTTATGAGAGATGCCAATGCTCTAGAGCAGGGGTGGGCAAACTTTTTGGCTCGAGGGCCACATCTGGGAATAGAAATTGTATGGCGGGCCATGAAGGCTGACACAATTGGGGTTGGGGTGTTGGAGGGGGTGAGGGCTCTGGTTGGGGGTGCGGGCTCTGGGGTGGGGCCAGAAATGAGGAGTTCAAGGTGTGGGAGGGGGCTACAGGCTAGGGTGGGGGGGTGAGGGCTCCGGCTGGGGGTGCAGACTCTGGGGTGGGGCTGAGGATGAGGGGTTTGGGGTTCAGGAGGGTGCTCTGGGTGGGAGGGGGATCAGGGCTGGGGTAGGGGGTTGGGACATGGGGAGAGGCTCAGGGGTGCAGGCTCCGGGCCGTGCTTACCTCAAGCAGCTCCCGGAAGTAGCAGCATGTCCCTTCTCCAGCTCCTACACGGAGGCACAGCCAGGTGGCTCTGCACGCTGGCCCATCTGCAGGCACCACCCCTGCAGCTCCCATTGGCTGTGGTTTCTGGCCAATGGGACCTATGGGGGCAGTGCTTGGGGAGGGGGCAGCTTGCAGAGTGGAGTACCCTCGCTGCCCCTACACATGGGGGAGGGCACCATGCCACTGCTTCCAGGAGCCGCGTGGAGCGGCCCCTGACCCTGCACCCTGTCTAGAGCGCCGGGACGGGGCAAGTCCCAGACCCTGCTCCCCAGTGGGAGCTCAAGGGACGGCTTAAAATGGCGGGTGGCCCAGATTTGCCCACCCCTGCTCTAGAGAGACAGCTTCATCCTGCGCCATCAAGTTAGAGGCCCTATTGCGGGTAGTAGAGGAGAAGCTCTGAAGGGGCCATCCTTTCCGTGATCGGGACTATAAGTTGACACAGCAGTTCATGCAGGGCATCCGGGAGCGAGAAGTGCAGGACAGGTTGGCACCTATGCAGCCTCCCTACATGACATTCTGACAGCTGCA